CAAGCACAGGCAGCACCATATAAACTGCCAATTTGCGCAAATCGACGACGCCAGCCTGTCCCGAAAAACTTGCAATATTTCCTGAATAAAACATGTATCTGAGGTATTGAACCATTTTAGTGCTAAAAACCATTCCTCATGTGCCGCTCATATTCCTGACAAAAATGACAGGACAATTTCCCGCAGTGGCTACCGTACAAAGCTCGAGTTTCGTGGCGACTGGCACTCGTGAAGAGCCACTGTCAAACAGAAGTGCAATGAAAGCTTTGAAACCGGCTGCAAGCTCCACTGCTCAGTTTTAGAAATCTAAAATCATGCATACCCCATACTACTATGGTCCCGAACATCGAATGATAGCTCTGCGTGGTCCAACCACCATAAAACGCGCTCGCACGCTCCAGCGTAGTACGAAGACAACCATCATAAATCGTGTGTTTCAGGCGCCATCCATATCTTTCAATAAAACCTATACGAACCATCTCCCCAGTACAACGTCCGAAACCTGTAAGGAAGCAGTTCTCAGCTATGAGCAGTTAACGAACTTAAACTGCCCAGGTAGGTTAATATCAAATTACAAAACTCACCCACCCCCCTCCTGCTTCACCATCACTGTCCCAAGAAAAGACAGTTCACAAAACACAAAATCCCGGGCCAAACAATCGCTATCAACACGCAAAAGCCCTCCACTCAGCCCCATGCTTCCTAAATGCTTGCGTGGAAGAAAAAACCCCGGATGCTCCGGCTCGCAGCTCCCCAACTCCCCACCCAAGCCGAAACCCAACCGCACACCACCATCGCCGGCCTACACAATCAATACACCGCCAGACTACACAAATCAATAAACCACGCACAAATCAATCTCGACCGGTAACTACTAAAACTCGGCCCTGTGCAGCTTTGGATGTCACTTTGCGACGGCTGGGACCGAATCGCGATGACTGGGTGAGGATGAAGAGCCGGGTCGGGTTGTGGTAGAAGGGGAAAGGGGGCGGGGACGGGGTCTCTCAGCAACTAGTATGTTGCTTGGCGTCATAGGCCGTGTGTCTCCTCCTCCCCTGCCCTCCATACCTTTTCTCCCTACGAAAAACGATTACTCAGACGCCTTCCCACTGTTTCGATCCAGTGGTACTCAAATCAGCACCGCTGGTCTCTACTCCCCTCCTACCCACCTCTTCCACCTAGCTCGCTATTCCCACAATGTTCGGTAC